GGCACATAGAACATGTTAAGTGCTTCGCATTTCCCATTGTCCATCGCACTGTCGGAATTTCTGCAAGAACCACAGTGGTTCCACCTGCTGATTGTGAGTGAGAAGCACATAAAAAGTATGAACATGTTTGTAATTAAAATCAGATTGCAATAACGTATTTTCATTTAGAATTATTATTACAAGTGTGCAAACCACATACAAACAATGCTTGCATATTGAGGCATACCGCTAACATTCGTGTATACAAGCCATTGGCAGTGAAGAGGTTTTCGTATTGTAGAAGTGTTTTATGTTATAGAGAATGAAATGCTGATTACACAAATTCCTCCTGCTACCTTCCACTCAAAGTGATAAAAGGATAATTTCCTTGTAGTAATGTGACCTTGTAAGTGTCAAAGGTGGTGAAGAATGAATTGTTCTTAACAATTCATGAATTTTGACATTTTCAAGATAAAAGATAGTTCGAAGTTAAAGAAAACGATTTTTGTTTTCTTTTATATATATTTTCTACTGTGTCATATGATTTTCATTCATTTTAAATGATTTTCTTTTACTCTAGAATCTTAACAATACTAATAGCATTTTGTTTTCATCATGACAATACAATCCTTATGTATTGTTATATTTACATCCTGGAGTTTGTGGTTAAGATTAGATGGTAGTACTAGTATCTGAATGGAATTGACAAAGGAGATTTATGAATGAAAAAAATGAAAGAAAAGAATCTCTGTTTTGAAGGACAGACATTTAGTTAGAGACAGAAAGGAGAAATGTATTGGCATAAAAACGGATCTCAAATTTTACTTGACGCGTTTCACCCGGGAAGTGTGGATCCTCCTAGAAATGTCCTAGTTTATATAGGCATTGTACACCTGATTAGTAAAGTATGTTGCTTTTTACTTTGTATTTATACATAAAAACATAATTTGAATGTTATAGCTTTAGTCACATTTTTATTTCCAATTTTATTTACATGTTGCTGCTACTCAATTACCTGATCCTTCATATACCAGGTGGGGATTATACCACCAAGGCTGAATACCACCAGAGCAAGTCATTGCTCTGGAAATTGTAAGTAAAATACTGTTTTTTATCATCTATATACTGCTATCAGACATACTACACCATTGGGTTATTTTTTGTTCTATCTCCCCTGCATGGCTAATGAACACTGGAAGTTTACTACACTGAAAATCTACATATCCTTAGACTGGGATTATACCGATCAGGCATTATACAGCAGAGCTCTCAGTAGCTCTCAAAAGTGTGAGTTAGCACTCTGCAAATGTATTTAACCCTTTAAGGACACAACTTCTGGAATAAAAGAGAAATAATGACGGAATATTTCCGTCATGTGTCCTTAAGGGGTTAAAATTCTAAAATGTAGCGTTGACAGACTGCACATTATTCTTGTGTTTTTCAGGTCCTTTAAAGACTGATATTGATAATTACGAGCTCTAAAAAGAGTATGTGTGTATATATATGTGTATATATATATATATATATATATATATATATATATATATATATATAAATATGAAACAAGGGGGGGTTGGCTGCACTCACCTGAACATGCATAAATGGGGGTGCTGCTGGGGGCCAAATAATACAAAACACAAGATCCAGCAATGTATGATCATATAATGTAACTAAACCCCCATTATTTTTGCCTAGATTAGGTGTTTTTAAAAAAACGAATAAAATCTTTCAACATTGAAGTTGCCGTTTAGTGGATAGGTGAGTGCGCTGGATCTTGTGTTTTTTAAATATATATATATATATATATATATATATATATATATATATATATATATATATACATATATCTTATTATAAGTGTTTGACACATTTCTTCTGCACAACACTCCACTTTGTTGGTGCGGTTTACCACACCTTTCCTTTTTTTTGAGTTTATAAATATAGGTTTATATAATACTCTAGATCCATTGAAAGATTTAATGTTTCATAGAAACAGAAAAAGTTATGGTTTACGGTTAGCCATAGAGCATGATATATGGTGTTTTGTTTTTTTTTCTTTGGAGTGGAACAAGTCAATATAAGTAAGAGAGTCTACAAAACGTATCCTTGGGCTGAAGCTCATGTATTTTTTTTTTGCCACCTATCAGTGTCTCTGCTGGTCTTTTTACAAATTATAGTTTTTATTACAGGAGTAGGCAACCTTCAGCACTCGAGATGTTGTGGACTGCATCTCCCAGAATGCTCTTACATCCATAATGCTGGCAAAGCATCAGGGTAGATGTAGGTCCACATCATCTGGAGTGTCAAAGGTTGCCTTCCACTATGGCACAGTGTTTAATGTTTGCACTGCACTTCTATTTAATAAATACATTAGATGTATAGATTGTAACGGATACCTCCGTGTCCAGACGGTATATACCCCCACTCTATAGGGGTAACTGTCACATAGATAGACAGATAGATGTTATGTATTAAAAATTAACCAAGAAGTGGTAGTAATATCCCTTTAAAACAAGATATATGAAGAAAAAATCTACTTTATGTCTAATATTGATTAAAAGTCTTAATATTTAAAAAGCCAATATTTTCCTTGAATATATTAATAACCTCACATAACAGATTATTTTCATTTTTCATTGTTAATTCATTGATTACTTTTCATTGCATTTCCATTGCAAATTTTAATCTAACCCTATTCATTAATAAAATATGTCAGACTGTCACACATAGAATATTACAAGTCTGTAGACATGTCGCTTACATATGGCATCCATCCACATGTAATAAAATGACCTTATAAGTAAAAACAGTTTTTAATCAATTCAGGTAGCAGAATTGCTTGCAGTAGATGGCTTGAAGTCAATGGAAATTGCAGAACTAAAGCCCAACCTTACAATAAGAATTTCTTAATGACAGCAACTAATAACGCTTTCTATTGCACAATAAAGGATTTATTGCTAGTCCTCAGGCTTTATGCCAGTGAGATTTTTTTCCATGTCAGTAGATTGAAGGACTAATTTGCTGTGATTATCAGAGAATTACTTTGTCAGGTTTCCTTCTTGTACTCTTTTGCAAGGGCAGACCTGTTAATTCCAATTCATTTAATTTATGTGAAATGAAAGGTAAATTCAAGTAAAGTGGTCAGGAGCCTCAAGCTTTAACAACTAGCTGCTGATGTTATGTGTGCTGTAAAAAATAAAAAAAATAGTTAAAAAGTCGCACACATATGTGTGTGCGTCTGTGTTTTTATTTATTTATTTATTTTTTCCTCTTAACAAAGAACGCTATAGTGCCCAGTACATTAAGTTTGGCTACTATTACACTAGAAGCAGAAATACATTTTGTAAAGTGCTTAAATTGCTGTTGGGAGGAAAATGCAAAGAGAACATTAGACCTGAGTCCATTTCTGCAAAGTAGATGGTACATGCATTAATCGTTTCAGTACCATAAGGCATGTACAGCATTTCATTTGGCAGCTGTGCCTTGTTCAGTGTTCTAGCACTCAAGCAGTTAACATGAGAGTGCTGGGCTAGATATTTGAAAGCACTTCAGAGGAAGGACAAGTAAATGCATGATTTCTGATTCAGATCAATGGGTAAAGAAACATGAAAAACAAATTTAAAAGCATAGGTCAGCATGCTCCAGACTCGGAGCTGTAAGCAACATGAATGCAATTCAAGCTGAATTTATGTGGAGTTTTTAGTACTTGAAATCCATTTAATAAGTATGTTTATATTCTCTCTATTGATTATTCTGGCCTCCTTTTTGTATGAAATTTCAATGTTTACCCTTTACATTTGCACCAATGATTATAACATTACATTAAATTGTTGCCCAAGAGAGATTAAATGTTATATGTAAATGCACAGACCTTGTTTGCTACACTGAAGTTAAAATCTGTTTTTATTTAATAAGTATCAGGACACCCTCACCAACCATGTTGTAATTGTAGAGATTGCTCAGTGAATACATCTATTACGGTGATAAAATGGTGGAGCTTCCTTGTTCATGAGGTAGAGAACACCTTAATAGATACTTGGAGATAGATGAATACACCAATAAGATGAAGAATTAGAGACCTATAGAATATATAATGAACTGGTATGTTTAGATAAAGAATAATATATGTCTCTGAAATATAGGCTTGTAATTATCATAGTTACAAACGGTTCTTACTGTTGATAGGGTTAATATTTCCACTTCCTGTTTATGGCTGAATTATAAGATTTGTTTTCATTTTATCTCTGTGCTCTGTAGAATTTTCTTTCTGTTCTTTTTTTGATACACGAACTTGCAGAGACTTGGTCCTGCTTAAATTTGCTTAATTAATAAAGATTTTATGTTTGGGTTTAAAGGGAAAATATAGTGCTAGGAATACAAAGTTGTATTTCTAACACTGTAGTATCATCTGCCCACGTCTCCTTTGCGGCACCCCCTTTTGCAGCATATAAAGGGTTAAAACCTGATGTCAGCTGATGTGGGGGACCTAATGAGCATTTAACCAATGATTTCCTATGGTATTTAACTGATGTTGGATGTCCTCATGCACTTCCAGAGTCATTTAACAGACCTGAATCTTCTAAAGACCCAGAAGTGCCTCTAGCAGCTGTCTGATAGACAGCCACTAGAGGTGGAGTTAACCCTGCAAGGTAATTATTTAAGTTTCTCAATAAATGCAATAATTACAATTGCAGAGTTAAAGGATCACTATAGTGTAATTAAAACAAATGCGTTTTCCTTACACTATATAATCCTTAGGGTCCCCCCACCCTCAGGGCCCACCTCCCGCTGGGCTGAAGGGGTTAAAAACCCCTTCAGCCACTTACCTTTCTCAAATGTGAATGAACGCACTCATTAAAAACACCCATAGGAAAGCATTTCTCAATGCTTTAGTATGGACATTCTGCATGCTCAATGTAGAGGCTGTACTAACCCTGCAATGTAAACATAGCAGTTTCTCTTAAAACCTGGGGGACCTGGCACCCAGACGTGGTCTGAGTGCAGTATCTCTGACCCCTTAAAGGACCACTATAGTCACCCAGACCACTTCATTAAGACCCCTTAAAGGACCACTATAGTCACCCAGACCACTTCATCTTAATGAAGTGGTCTGGGTGACTATAGTGGTCCTTTAAGGGGTCAGAGATACTGCACTCAGACCACTTCAATGAGATGAAGTGGTCTGGGTGCCTATAGCATCCCTTTAACTTTGTAACTAATATAGTATGATTTTGTAACATAAAGATTATTTGTCTAGAAAGAAATGTGTGAATGCATTTTAACTTGAAAAATAATGCATTGATTTTTGAGGAGTTCAAATCTGTATGGTGTATACATTTTGGCTGAGGTATGTTAAATAATAGGGGAAGAGGATTAGAGACTTCAGACCTCATCAGCAAACCAAGGTTTCTCCTTCCTTTCATGTTAAGCATTTTCACTTTACGCTCTAAAGGGCAAGTATCGTATTCTTTCAGCATCTGTGATTAACATTGATTGGTCAGATTTGCATTGCAATTTCTTAGTTAAGTCCTTGGTTGTATTGTCTACTGCTATTTTGAAGATAGCAGCTAGGATTACTTTGGTGTATTTTATTTGAAGCACAGTGGTAGTGAGGCTCTAAATGTAATATGGGGACATTTATTCAGCAATAATCCCCATATTTCTTTGCTAAGATAGTATATTTTAGGTATCCTTGTAAAATTGAAACTGTATATATTTTTTTTTTGTGTTTGTGCACTGTTTCCTAATCTGCATTTTGTATTTATTCAGCAATAGTCTAATCCTCTGGTGCTTAATATAGTTTGTTGTATGATTTATATAGCTTGGCATTGCAAATACATGTGTTAAAATGCTTTGTTTGAAGACCTCCAACCTTCTCGTCTGCTCTTACTTTATGTCCTGTTAACATGGTACTTTGATCCTAATTAGTAATAAACTAGACTGAAAGGAAAAGTCAGTTCATACATACGATAGGTTGCTGTATTAAGAAGCAGCTGACTGACTGTGGCTAAAGAGTCCCACACTTTATCCACCAAAGCCCTCCCTTAGCAAAGCCTTTGAGATAATAAGTACATATTTTCTTTTAGAGCTCTTATGTATTTAAGAGCTTGAACCAACCACTCAAAAACATTTAAGTCATCCATCATTTGATTATATTGGTTGACAATTTATATATTTATAAATTGACTCATCGGGACTGTAGGCGTTATCAGGACAGTACGTACTGTGTGCCGGATGTTTTACTTAATTAGTATTCAAGTAATATGTATTAAGACAAAGATAATGTTTTACATCACAAAGCTAATATAATATACTTGTGTATGGTGGAAAAAAATGTTTTGTCCCGATCAATTCTGGCAGAAAAATGGTCTAATTAGTTTGACTAAAGTTTTAGAATTTTCGGATATGTCATTCAAATTCAGTCCACATTTAGTCAATAATTGCTATTTTGGGCATTGGATTACAATTGAGCATTCAGTTGCGTGTTTTAAACATTCAATATGGCGGATCCATCTTTCTTTCTCCATGAGCATAATTCCAAATCCTGAATCAAAAAAACTTTTAGTCCATTGTCCATATCATTTGTTTCCTGATGCAACCATTTGGCACTTTTAAAGTTACAGAATTTGGCCGCATCGCAAACTGGTCACATTTTGGTCAAATTGCTATTTGTTTGAAACCAAATGCACGTATATATCATACTTCTCTGCATTGCTAGCAAAATAAGATATGAGAAAACTTAATAAACAGTTATAAAAAAAAATAAAACTAAAAAGTATATTTAAATAAGCATTTTGTCTGAAATACAAAATGTGTTCTTCCTTGCTGTAGCACATAAACATTAGCAGGGGTCAATAAACTCAGTTTGGCTGGTAATCTAATTATAATATAGACATGCTTTTATTAGATTACCTCTAGAACCTATAGATTACATATATGTTTCTGTCTAATAAAGAACACATTTAAAAATTGATGATAGATAGACAGGTATACTGTTCATTTTAATATTACTATTTTAGAAAATATTGCTCTAATACTAGGAATTCTACTGCAAAGCAAACTATAGAAGTATGTTTGTGGTACACAATAGGAAAATGATAATGTGACCACTGTAAAAAACAAAAAACAAACCATACGCAGCTTTTAAATTGGAAGGATGAATATGCTGTTTCTGTCGACACACACAACAATGCATGCCCCAGTTTACTAATTAATTAGGTGTCTGTGCTTTAACAAGCACATCAAATCAGAGAAACTCACTCCAGGCACGTAACACTGAGTGTTATCAAGCATGAATAGCTACTCTTTCTAGTGCTAAAAATCCTTAGTCATTTTCCTAATGTAGACATTTTTTTATATTGTTGCCCCAAAAAATGATGCTCAGAACCTACCTACGGAGTTACAAAATAAACCAAAGGTCAAGCCTACATTATGATGGTTGAAACTCTTTTTATAGAAATTAGATTTCTGGACTACCAATTTTGTGCTGATCTCTGTTCTCACATGACCTGTCATCAGAAAAACATACAGAACTTTGTGTATATATGACTTACAAATAGTAGTGTGAATCGAACTACTGTTTCTAACTGTATATCTGTTCTATAATGCTTAGCCTTTCCAAAATAATAATACATTTTAAACACATAATTTTAATATACACTGTGAAGTACAAAACAAGCACTTAAAATTATTAATTATCAATTTGCGACCAAAGGGCCTCCAGCCAAAGATTTTGAAATCCATTTCTTCAGCAAAGTCTTTATGTGACCTTGACTATTGTACCTCGTTCGGCCTTAGGCTTTTCAAAAGTAATTGGAAAATAATAACAATTCAGCTTTGCTGTTGATTTTGTGATCTGTTGGAATATAAGGGCTACATAAATCCAAAATTAATAATATTGTGCACAACTGTTCCTCTTGCCCAACAAGTCCTAAAGGAGATATTGTTCTTATCACCTCATTTATTTACAAACAAATGGGCCTACACTGGAAAATAATTAAGATGCCTAAGATAGATTTATTTGCTTAGTTGTAAAACTGAAGGTCTTTAATTATATTGCAAAGAGTGGTGTTTCTGGGTAAAAAAGAAATATTAATAAGGATTTATAGAGACTATGAAAGAAAACAAGACTTTTATATATTAATCTCCGTTGTTAACAGAACATTTTTCTACTAGTTTATTTTCATAGATATCCTTGTTTGTTGCTTAAAAGTAAATAAATTAGGCACTGAAAATTGATTAAATGCTGGTTTATCGGTGCTGTAGTATATTAAATTGGAATTGTATGTTTTTTTTCGCATTGTGTATATTGGACACAAATAGAAATTAAAAAGAATGAATATCTGCAAGAATATAAGGATATTAAACCATATATATTGAGAAACAAATAGTTCAGGAACAGTTCATCCTTTCATAAAGATTTCATAAAGATTGTCTGGATAATACTGTCAAGGTCAATGTCAGTGCGGGTTATCTATCTTGGAAGTGCCCGTCAGTCACATAAATTGCAGCACTATCCCGAACAACCACATATTTATAGTGCTTTGCTTTTTCTCTGATACAAAATTGTGTGACAAGCACAGTTATTCATGTGCAGGAACTTCCAGTTTGTTATTTTCCTTCTACTAACTTATTCTTTTGCAGTTGTATCCATTTCAGATATGCATTTTTAATGTCTGTTCGGCATGCGTATGAATAGATAGCATAGAATTAGCTCCTTTGGTTTCTTCTTTTATTTATCATTTTCATACAATTATTATCAGTACATTTTCTATTCTTCTTTTCTGTTAATTTCTACTGAATGTTGATCGATAAAAGCCCGTAACAGGTACATTGACTGCAATAGGGCTTTCCTGTTTCAGAATCAATTGTGTTGTGTATTGAAGAAACTGCCTGCTGGGTTTCTTACATCTTCAAAATCACACTGACTTTATTTACTAATAGAGGGGAATGAATTAAGTTAGTTCCTTCAAGTGAGGAATTGAAATCTGAAGTTAATTATGGAAAACCATGCACGTTAACTGGTGTGCTAAATTGCCATTTGGTGTTTTTTTATGATATTTTACAAGCATCAATGAACTTACTGATGTTTTGATGTGGATTTTTTTTTCGACGCAACTCCATAATCTAAGTATTAACTAGGAGGCAACCTCTGATATTTTCTCAAATATGTTCTATGTAGATGGATAATCTAAACAGAAACGTGTAATGAAATACATGGTGTTTCTCTAATTAGAATTCAGTATGTAGCAGGCAGCATAATTTAGAGAATATATCTTTTACCCCCCATTAATTCTTGTTAGTTGATAGTTTTAAGATTACTAAACTGACTACTGCTTACTGGTTTGTGTCTAGTGATAAAATAGCTATGCCTATACTTTATGCTTGTATGGAGGTGATACATGATTGCTGCATAAATATTCTCAAAGGTTCAGTGATGCTCAGGAATCAAGTATTAGATATTGATATTTTAACAACTTAACATCTTTTAACATCTTGCGTTATTTATGATATTTAGTGTAGCTCATATTTTTTATTATTATTTTTTTTAACTGTAAAAGTCATGGTAAAACTTTAAACACATCCACTAATGATAGCGCCCACACTGATTAAACTACAATGGACATACCAGTGTAAATATAATTCCACGTTTTTATTATGTGCCTTTGATTCTTGAAGATTGATGTATGCATGTAAACAAATGCAGTCATAGTAGTCAACATAATATGTTGTTCAGGCTTCCATTTTATTGCTCTAAGCTGCGGAACCTTCAAGAAAATGCACCTCTCTGCCCAAATGAACTACCACAGTATCCACCACTTCTTACTCCAATATTACCTCATCTTCTAACTCCTTTAAAGTTTTTTTTTTAATAGAGAATTTAATTCTGACATAAAATTCTGAATCCCAGTCCAAGAAACACACGTTCATACTCCAATGCAGCTAAATTGGTAATGAAAATGAATCACAAGTCTATATAACCACTAGACCAATACTGACTATTAGGCTATTTAGACATTAAATAGACATTACAGACACCAACACAACTCTTATGTTTTTAATAGGTTTGGCCTGAATAATTATCTGTATTTTCATTTCATTCTCAATATTTGTACATTGCACTTTTTGTGA